TACGAACCCGAAGCGTTCAATCTAGCATAGGTGACAGAAGCGCTACACATTATTGTTATCCTTACGCCAGAAAATGTTTTTGTGATTCTTCATTGAAGACTTAGAAGCTGTAAAAATTCAGTTTGAGATGACTGTCTGTCAGCCGGTTAGAATGTGATAAGTCCTGCCTGTGGTTCACAAACTGTGTACTGTGTAGTTTTGCGGTCAGTGCTGTGCCAGTTCAGGGAATATTTACAAGCACTCTTGAAGCATGCAGAAATAGTAACATATAACAGATGATGTCAACTCAGAGCTAAACCAGAACTTCAATCTGTGCAAGGGTCTCATTTTCACCTCTGTTATTTTTGTATTTTTATTATTGGTTAGTGTTAAAACACTTTCTTCAAGCAAAGAACTCACACTGGATAACTTACTTGGTCTGATAATTGATAACACTTTCATAGCTCTGTTTTAATATGGGGCTACAGCTAGGTAAGCAACAGTTTAACTCGCCTTAATTTAGCTAATCGCAATGATAAAAAAAAAGTAAACAGTAGCCGTTAGTTTCATTTAAAAAACGTATACAGTGACGCATCGGCTGCAGTACGATATACAGAGACATGAATGGAGTCCGTCTTGTTATTTTTGCACAGTTAAAGGGTCATTGTTGTCTTGATGTGACTGTATTTAGCCCTGAGAAATGACATACAAAGAAACATTAAAACATTAAAACTCATAGAAACCAAAAAGGCACTCTGTCCTCCTTCGATCACTTTTACCAATGAACCATAAACTGAAATAGACTATGGCTTAGATCCTAAATGACCTATCCAAATGGGGCATTGATATTTTCCTATGATAACACATTGATTACTATAGAGCACTGCCAAAATACTTAGTTGCAAACACATGGCATGTTTATGTCTTAATTTGTGCCCTATGACAAAGAGGAATGATACAGTTGAAATAAATAGACACGGCGTGAGCCTCCTTAGATATGAAACAACCTTTTCTTTGCCAATGAGTGTTCAGTGTTTCCTTGCCTGAGAGATTGTCCACAGTTATTCTGAGATAAGTCAATGGAGAGGGGGATTTGTTTAGACTGCTGTGGAAAGAGGTCTTTAATACTGAGAGAAATCCTTTCGTGAGATTTTTAAACACTTGAAGATCCACTTCCCACTTTGTCCTTACTCAAAGTGTTCTATACCCAGTACTGGTTCTTTTTCAATGCCGGGTTTGTTGTCCGACAGTGCTGCAACAGCTCAGGGTCTGTGTCTTTGGATTCCACATTGGACATGGGGATGTTATTGGCTGGGTCAGTTTTGCGAAAGGTTTCTGTGCCAGCCACCTCTCCATTTTTGGGTTTGGATGCTGCTGTCTGGACGTTGTGTTTACCTGTCTTGTTTTTACGAATCAGGAAGTAGGCCAAGACGGCTGCCAGCAGTAAGAGGGAGAGGACTACGAGGATAGGGATTAGGATAGACCAGAAACTGCTGCGACGGGAAACTCGTGGATTTCCGTGGGAGCCAGGTGGTGCTGTGGTGATGGCACCCCCCACAGGCCAGTCTATAGTGTTGAGGTGATGGGACCCAGACTTATTGGGGCCCTTGGATGGAACCTTTGAGGGAATTCTCAGCAGAGTGGCAGGGTAGACTCCAGAAGAGTTGTATGGACCCATCTGGAAGGAAAGAACACATTCTGCAGGGGGAACTCCATGGGCTTTGAGAAGGAAGTGAACCTCATCCTGAGTAGTTTCATCCTTTGATCCTGATTCATTATGTAAGATTTCCATTGCTACATGACCCTCATCCAGGTCCTTTTGAGTGAATGATTCCACAAGCTGGCCTGCGTCAGGACCTCTAGACCTTACAAAACGAGCCCCTCTCGGCTTCTTGATGATTGTGAACGTGGGGGAGGTTCTGGTCTTGTTGGCCAGTGGAGATGCGTCCAGAAGTTTTCTGTCTAATTGGACGAGTGCACCCCTGGGCAATAGGGGACCCTGGGCGATGTCGGCCAAAGGCTGCACAGTGAAGTTGAGGACAGAGGAAACATTAGCAGCCCTGCTGCGGGCTGTAAATGATGCACTGTCTCTTGGTGAAGTGGACTTGATAAAGCGGACACTGACTCTCCCTTCTTTGATCTGTTTCTGGGTGAAGGCAGATGTGGGTTGCCGGTCTACCATGACAGCTGCATACCTAGGAACACTTGTGATTTTGTAAAGGATCTCCTCCTCAACAGGGCCTCCTGTAGAGGCCCTCAACATCTCTTCAGTAATCACAGTCTCATCATCACCCTGCTTCACCTTGATCTCAGGGGCTTTTTTGAAAAGCAGGGTGCGAGCTAGTATGCCAATGTTAAGCACGTAAGGCTCTGTTTGATGTTCTCCATCTGACAAGATGAATTCCACGGAGCTTTCTGCCAGGCTCCCGTCACTGTTGAAGCCCACCAGTCCACGATTAACCATCTCTTGTGTGAACATTGCCAGGGGATCCTTTGTAAGTGAGTTAACCAGTTGACCATTACTAGGTGCTTTGGTGATCTTAAATTGCACTTCATCTGGTGGACTGTCTTCATCTTGAGTATTAAGGTGATTCTGGGTCAAGATGGTCATAGAGCCTTGGGTAACTTCCAGGAGCATATCTGTAGTAACTAGTTCTGGGGCTTCAGAACCTCGTCTTTTGACTGATATCTGGAACACCTCCTCTAGGACCACAGACTGAGCTGGTGTGGCCAGATCACGACCCTCAGATTTTAGACGGGCCCTGAATGAGAAACTGTCCACGGTGGCGCTTGAGTCATCATGGAGATACTCCACCTTTCCTTGAGACACATCTTCCTGCAGGAAGTATGGTGCATTACGGGGCAGGTCCTGACCACCCAGCGTAATGCGACCGTGACTGGGGAAACGCTTAATCTCATATTCCACATCAACATCGTCTTGCTGTGCTTCAGGGAGACTGGCCAGAAGATTGGAGGCGTCAAGAATGAAACTATCAATGGTTTTCCTCTGGCCCTGTACAATATCCAGTCCTGAGTAGAAATAATAAAACACATGTCAATCTTACACTGAATCCAGTTAATTTTGAATCACGCTCAACATCATTCAAATATAGGAAACAAAAGCTGAAATGTTCCAAATAGAAACAGAAAAAAATCAGTTCACCATTTGTTTGACTCTTTGTTAGACAACTTTTAAAATATATACGTTTGACCAAACATGGCTGCAGTTGGAGCCCCCTGTCTCTGGGCTTTTTCAAACTGAATAAACACTTTACTCATTTCGCCATCTACCTTTGTTCTTCCATAGCTGTGAGGAGATGTTGCTGTTAGCAGCAAAATAGGATATGGTGATAGGGAGGAGGTGGTTGACGTTCTGAGCTGGATGAGATGACAGAATAAACTCCATGAAGTCTCTCACCACCCAGAAAGGCTCAGGAGGCATCTGGTGCTCATAGTACACCACTCCGGACTCCAACTGTGCATCAGGGGATACAAAATTAGAAGATCGTGAGCCATTTATAATAGGATTCTCTCAATAAAATAAAAAACATCAGGTGCGCGAATCAAATTGTTTGCAATTTTGCAAATTTTGGGTTACGATATAAAATGATTTTACCAATAAGCTTGTAATTCTTGTGGTAACTTTCTCTACTTGACACTTGTTAATATAATTTTGAGTTGAGGGTATACTGTAGGTAAATAGAAATTATTTTATGTTGGTAAGTTAATTCATTGCTTTCTTGTCCTGTGATGTTTGTCCTGTGAGTGTCGCATTTTAATGGCAGCTCAGCTAACGTCAGAAATGGTTTGGCTCATCTAAACTGTGATAAGGCAATAGGGAAGTGAGGTGTGCCTGCATTTGGTTCTTTGAGGTCATTAATTAAACATCACAGGCATGGCTTCTGTCCAAGGGACACAATATTATGTGGTAATTTATGACCTCTGCTGGTACAGAAGACGAACAAGGGACAGTAATAAACTGATATGTTTTGAGTATATTTATAATGTGTAGAATTTGTATGAAATGATCTTTAATCATAAAGAATGTCCACTGGAAATAGTTAAGGTGATCATCGTCTGTTTTTTAAAGAATTAGTTGTGAGCATGAGTCAGGGTTTCAACAAGTCCTATGAAGTTTTAAAAATGTAAATGTGTGCAATACATATATAGAATGTTATTTGGTAAGTTTTCTGTCAGCTCTTTCTGTGGTAAGGATTTATAAGAATAAAGGACACTAATTATGCTGAGTAATATCCGTGTCCTGAGGACAGCAAACATCGTTCAAGACAACAAAATGTCACTCTGATTGATAGAAGTTGAAAACATATGAAATATTAGATTGGCTTGGTCATTTGATAATTTACATATCTAAAAAAAACTAAACAACCCAACTCTTTTTTTGGTCTGTCATGTTGAGGTACACTAAATTATATTTGGTTGATTTCATTTTTTTTTTTTTCTGTTGTGTTCATAACACCCTTTCACCCCTGGATCAATACGCAATTAATTTATGGATCACTGTGTTGGGTAACAAACATTTCTTGATTTAAATATTACAGTGAAAAAATATTTTAGCAAAATGCCAAATAAATTTGATACCAACTTAATGTTAATGGAAACAACAAGGGACAATAAAAATAGTTTTATTTAAATGCATTTAATTGTTTTACTGACATGATAGTTCTTACTGTAAGAATCGCTTTTAAAAGTCTAACCGACCTAAATATTTATGCACAAAAAGACATTTAAACTGCAAAAAAAATGTTACCTGTGACTGTGAGAACTGGGAAATTTCCTCGTACTGGTTCCTCTCATTTGCCAGAATGAGTCTTCCAAGGCGAGGCGGACGGACAAGTAAAAAGTTAATCTCATTCCCATCCTCGTTGGTTTTGGCACCCAAATTGGCGCTTGTGATGGGTTGCCTGGTTCCTGTAAAAGACCACAAAGGAGCATGAAGCCCAGATAGATGAATGTGAAGAAAATGGCTTCCCTTCAGTGCAGTTTTATATCAGCCTGAGACTGGGACGACTGCAAAGGGTAGAAAACTTAAAAGATGTATCCAGGTTTCCAGTAAAATTGACAACAGATCTCACGATCGTAGAGTCAACACTTGTAAAAATACAGTTTTTTAGACAAGGAAAAATTAAAATCTCAAGAAGTAGACTTAGAAGTAGAGGTTGTTTGGAATTTGGTACATACAGTGGCAGAATCAAGCCTTACCCTTGGCTCAGACTACAAATGATAAAGGTTAGTATGCAAGGCTATTTACTCTAAATCTGATGCTGTTAAACCACAATTACAAAAGTTTCACTTAAAAGTTTCACTTTTCAAGTCAAATCAGTCATGGAAAGATCGAAGGAAATACAGGGTCATTGCGCTGTAATTTGCACCTACGGCCATGAGAGGCTGCTGTTTGGCAAATATAAAACCAACAACAATCAATTCCAACATCAGTCTTAAAAGTAGATAAAATGAGTGCAATAGATTGCAGTAGAGTTTTTTTAAATATTTACTTAAATTCAGCATTCTAATCTCATTACAAGCTATTACTTTTGTGCTGAAACTCACAAAAATGTACAAACTGAACTGGGAAGACCTTTTGTGGCAGAGCAGAGAAAAAATTAGGAGCTTTCTCTGTCGTCACTGTTAATTCTTATGATCCATGGATGATATGCTTCACATTAAGTCTAAATGTATTTTCTTAATAGTTTTCAACTCAGGTCTGAAGTTCAAGACCAATGAAAACGACTTTGTTACTTCATCGCCTGCACAGCACACAGATAGCAGCTCCACTGAGAAAAGCAGCATAGAAACAGGATCCATGTGGAAACGTGTGGCTCACAAAGTATCTGTCTCTTTGGGCTGGTGATCAAAAAATTCTTTGATATGCTTCAGCTCCTTGCATGAAATCATCGGTCTATACAACGTCAGATTTGTTTTCACCGTTTTTTTTCTTCTGCTTCAAACTGCTGACAAGTGAGCCGTTACTCTTCTGAGAATCTCGCTGCCCAAACATGTCAACAGTGGCAATAAAAAATGGGTTTCTCATAAGGGGAAACTTGAATGAACCATGCAAAGGGTTTCTTTTAGAGACTGGTTGCCAGTCAGCAGCTTAATCTGATCTTAACTGAAAAGTAAATAGAAGACATGTCATATGTGTCATGTGTTCAGGGTCTATATGTGATATGTGTTTTTTCTGTGCACAGTTCATACATCACAGCACAGTTTATTTTCTGTCTTCTATTTGTCTTACTTTTTCTTACAAAACTTTAGACTGACCAACAAAATCGCCATTAATTTGCTTATATCGCAACATGTGAATGTAAATGTTTACTTGGAGAATTCTGGCGTCTTACCTGGAAACACAATTAGTTCCTCCTGATCTACTATGCTGATGGTGAGAGACCTTGCCGTAACAACAAATTTGTAGAGAGGAGATGTGTGCTCGCCATCTGTCACCGTGAAACTGAAACCTCCCGCGTCAGCGTTAGCAGCTTCTGGAAGGGGATGGAAGTTCAAGTTTGTCAGTGATACTTGGTCAGGTTAAATCTGTTCCTCTAAGTTTATTTTTTTCCTAACTCCTAAACTTCAACGTATAATTACAATAACATCAATGGTTCTGCCATGGTTCTGCTCGAGGTTTCTGCCTGTTAAAAGGAAGTTTTTCCTTGCCTGTGTCGCCTAGTGCTTGCTCATGGTGTGAACTGTTGGGTTTCTGTAATTAACTTCAGAGTGGGGTCTGACCTGCTCTGTTTGGAAAGCGCTGTGAGACAACTGTTGTTGTGATGTGGCGCTATATAAATAAAATTGAATTGAAAAATTTAATTGAAATCAATGGAATGCATAAAAAGAGATGCTCCATGTATTTGTTGTAGTGGTGAAAAAAAAGACCGGTTCTCTCATTTAAAGATATTCACCCTTGTGAATGAAGATGACCTCTCCGTTGTTTATTTGCGCCTGTGTGAAATTATGGATGCCCTCCTCGGGTTTTTCTTTCAGCGCCACCATCCCGTTAATTGGCATTTCGATGTTGTAAACCAGCTCCTCTATGGGGGTATCGTCGTCCTCTGTGCTCAGCATGCTGGAGGTGATATCGGCCTCCTCGCCGGCAAGCACCTGCAAAACATCAAAGACACGAGGAGGGTGAGTAATACGGAGATGAGAGGACGCCACAGATTACCCGAAAGATTTGTGTAGGTAGATATTTTGACAGACGGATTAGACAGCTGGATACAGAGGTAGATATATGGATTGAATGCAAAGCACTTGAGTAAAGAAATTAAGTGAATAAACAAGAGGCAGCTCATCCAACAAACAACCACCTCTAAGGTAACACTTTTAAAAGGTTAATTATTCCTCCACAGCAGTCTAACTGCTCCTGTTATCAGAAGATGGAGCACGGCAGTGCAGGCTGAATGAGTCTCCCTGGGTGGAGGGCCTCTAATGGACTTCTAATGGTCGGCCAGCTGAAAGAAGCATTAATTGAAAGAAATGGGCCAGATCCTGAGAAAGACGTTCTTAAATAGCTGAAATCAGTTGGGAAAGTGAGCTGCGGGTGCCCTGCAGTATGAGGTAAATATCGATTTAGTCAGCCATTCACCCTTTCAAGCCAACCCCCCCCATCCTCCACACACTGGGCCCAGCGTAAGAAGACTCTGGCAGGAGGAAAAAGAAACCTAAGTCTCAGATTTCAGTGCTTCAAGTAGCACTCAAGTAGACCTGCTTATATCTACTGCAGAATATGCTACACAGAAGGCACGAAACACATCTAAAAAATGAATTACCATGGGTTCAGACTTTCCTCTTTTGTTACGCAGACAGTTTTTTATGACTTGCCTCATATCTGAGCCAAGCCCTACTTTGACACCTTTGTGGTTAGTAGGAAGACTTTTTGTGATAAAAACAGTAACACAGGCTGCAGTGATAAAAAAGTAATGCAGGCTTTGCTTCCAAGTACGCATTGAAGGCACAGAAGCAGAAAGTTGAAAGTGAAAGCATGCAGGTCTAATGAGAGCGCCACAACTGAGACAAACTATCTCTATTCTTCTTGTGATGAATTTCGGTTATGCAGATTAAAGGGGGCTATTCTTCTTAAGCGGTGTGGTCAGTAAAAGTTCAGTGTGATGTTTAGAAGATCTCATCTCTCAAAAACAGCTCTGCACATTAGTGAACATGCATCAAGTAAAGTAAAGAGTAACCAGTAGTCCTGCTTTTGCCCAGAGTCAGAAACAAACAAGGAGAGGCTTCATTTCAGTTTCACGCTCCTAAATTCAGGAATTTTTCCTGAAGAGGTGAGACATACCTCAGCTCTGACAATGTTGGAATCCAGGCTGAAAACGGTTCTATTTGACTATGCATATGAAGACCGGGTGTATTTTATCTGCGTTCTTTACTTTTAATCTCTTTAATTTATTTTGTTTATTCATTTTTTCTTAGTGTTCTGTTTTAACTTTTGAATGGTCACATACACAAAATGTGCTATACACATAAACTTGCCTTGTCTGGTATGTGTATTTACTTTTCGAATCAAATAGCAGACCATTAGACTAATCATCATTGCAACTCTATGCTCCATTTCAATAGATTTACCTCTTCACATTGACTTTAAAGTGTTTTTGCCTGCAGCTGCAGTGAAGCTGCAAAAAGTGTTATCTTTTCAAGTCGCCCATGACATCTGGTATTGAGCTATTTGTGACTTGTCCAACGTAACAAATGCATTGCGGAGCATATAATTTAGTTGTCTTACAGTCCACTGTATAATAAAAATCCTGTTTGGCTTTACACTCCATCAGGGTTTTACACTCCATCTGAGCTCCGTCTTAGCAACTCATGGCATCAACACTTCAAAGCAGTAATCCATCATCCCAGCCTGATTTTTTTTTTTACTGCAAGATTGTATCTTTGTTCCACTCTAATGGTAAGTTGTATAATGGGGACGAGTTCAAAGACATGTGCTGTTTGGGGGGGAAAGTGAGATAAAAAGGCCTGTTGTTGTTCACATGAGAAACCTTGAAGCTTTACTGAGAATTTAAAATGACTGCGTGGTGGCAGAAAATGTGAATGTACAGTCTAGTGTTGAATAAAAATGGTCTGAACACAGTTTCATCACCATTACCACCGACTCTAGTAGGAAATCTCCAGGATTGTCACATATCAAAGTACTTATGTTGTTGTGAGCATTGAAGACCTCTTGGCATCGGAAAATGTGCATGTTGGTCAGTCAGGATGAGGTTTGCCTTTACGATTTGCATGTCAAAAGATGTGTAGACATATTCTTTAAAACTAAGCTTGTTATCTCTGAGGTCTAAGATTTTTAAATAGCTTCTTAATGAGTATACATACACATCTCCTTTGGCCTGTTTCACTATGAATGCATTTATTCAAATGTATCAAAGGCTGTCCGGTGTAAAAGGGTTTGGACAGTAATAGACCAATACCTACTTCTTCATTAAAAGTTTGAATCTCAAATCTACAGTTCACCCAAAGGACACTGCAGTTTTCAGGCTGTGACTGAAGAATGATTGTTTACCTACATAAGACCTTAATGATGGTTTCAGAAGTCATTTTCAAAGGAGAACCCCTGAGGATGATAACCTCTCATTTGTCTGACTCCTATAAGTTGGGTGGGTGAGCAAGAATATATGCAAGGATATTAAAAAAATGGAACATCATATCAACCCACACCTACAAGGAAGGTCACATTTTATCTGCCCCACTGCTGAAATCTACAGAAATAACATGTGGTATCAGGCTTTGGAGAGTCTGGGTTCGGTTTCCTTAGTTCTGCTGTCTTTTATGGCCCGCAGAAGCCATAGGCTGACTGTTTATTCTGTGGAAGAGTGCGGCATAACCCAAACAGTACCAGTCAATTCTGGACTCAGTTCGAAAAAGGCTGGAAGTGGGCCTGTTTGCCTTCAAGCGGAACTCCCACCGTCCCCCGTGCACCCTGGACAAGACAGCAGCTCGATGTGTTCCGCTTCTTCATCCCTTGCAGACGCTTTCAGATGAGAGGGGTAGTTCTTCCTATAACTCCACATATGGTGCAGCATTCAGAGGTCATTCAGCTGATAATAGCACCACCCACATGGCCAGTCTCTCAGCATTAAGCTGCAAAAATAGTGCAGCACCTGAAACCCAAATATCACAGCTAACAGAGCTAATGATATTCCAAATTGAAGGACAAGCTCCTGGCAATATTCAATAGCTTATTTTAAGAGTGCTTTGTGCTAATATGACATTAGCTAGGTTTCTCAACAGCACCGAGCTTGATATTTGAAGTCAAGGAGAGGTGTTAAAACACACGGGGTTTAAAAACGTGTTTTTTTTTGTGCGTGTACGTGTGTTAAGGACGAGTAGAAGTAGCTTTTCCAAGGTCAATGCTAATCTAAGAAACCTCAGGCCCAGGCAGCAAGTTCTGAGTGTGCATATAGACGAGAAACCCTCCAGTCAATATACAATGGGAATAGATTGGGAGTAGAGCTCATTCTGGCTACATGTAGTCAAGATACATTTGTTGTTTTCACTCAAAAATAACCAATTTCTTCTTCAAGACGCCTATAATAATTAGTAAGTTATGCATCAGAGAAACATTTTACACAAAAATGTCTTCTGATGTCAGAGCTCGTCCATCTGACAGACAAATAAAATGCCTTATAAATTTCAGTAGAGAGACATTGAGTGATGCCATTTTCTCTTTTAATGTTACCATTTATTCTTACATAATACCCTAATAGATTAAAAGTTTGTATGAGATCATTCCTTTTTCAACCCCCTCTCACTAAATTTTTATTTTATCTATGGTTCAAAGTTGCCCAATATGATAAAGACAATATCATATTTAGTCCAGACAGTCTTAAACAGTATCTGGGGGCTCAGATGTTTCTCCAGTGCAGTCCCCATCTCCTCGCACTAGATGGCCACATTGGCCCAGTCTCAACCTCAGAGACGTCACACAAAGTAGGGCAGGTATTCTGGAAAATGGCCTCGCAAATTGACGGTTTATATAACAATCAATGCATTTAGCATCTAAGAGGATAGATTGCAGATTCAATTTGATTGGGCACAGTGGCTGATATTTCAGACTGAGGTGTTAATGAAGTAGCTGCCATAGGCAAATAACTTAGTTTGACAGAGACTTCATGAGACAGCATTATTTCTTAACCGTTTGAGACTCTGAGGGGTTTTGAGATTGTCTCACAAAGTGCTCAACTATTCATAATCCTTGCTGAATTGAGGACAGGGAGTATCAGTGGGCTTGTAACAACAACTGTGAGTATGAGCTAAAGCTGGACGGACCAGAGGGAGGAAGTAAACAGGAAGGATAATAGCACATGTAAGTGCATAGAAGTGCTAAAGAAGGCAGTGGAACTACTCTAATCTGTCCGATATGATTGATATGACATTAACTGGTTTATATTTGGAGGAGAGACTAAACACAAATACTATTCTGTACTACTTTTGGAAATAAAGTCAAGAGTGGTCTATCAGGACCGGCTGTATCCTGTACACTGTGCCAAACTAGTAGCTAGCTTGAGCCTGATCATAACCATGCACGTCATCATGTCTGATCCTCTGTTACAGAGGTCACTACACGCACACACACTTCCTGCTTTAAATCAATCACTGGGACGGCTCGGTCTCTGTGTGGGTTAGACATCCACGTATAATTATGTTACATTCTGCAGGCGCTGCAGAGGAGTCACAGGGATTGGATGCCGCTCCTCACTCTGCCAGAAAATTCGTGGTCGACGTCGACCATCTTGGTTTTTTCCAAAAATACAGGTTGCCAGGGAGACGAGGAGGCGCAAGGCAGAGCAGGGAGGGCTGAGCAACACAGTTCGTCTCCAGTCCTGTGAGCTGATTACTGCCGGTTTTTCCAACTGCCTGAGTCCTCTTACAGTACAGTCGACTTTTTGAGCCTTTCGAAACTTTTCCTTCACGGCTGACGCAGATCAGTTTGAGAGCGTGCCAAATATGTGGCCACCCACTTAGCATACTTACAGTAAAACAGGGGGGAGATATGAGGAACAAACGTAAAAGTAACGGTGACCAATGCACCAGCGCAGACCATGATGAGCTTAACCAGAAACTCATAGTAGAGTCATCACTGTTTTTTCACATTAAAAAGTAAAAATGCAGAAGCCTTTGTAGGAGAGGAGTGTTTGGCACCGCTATTCTTTTTTGGACTGAATCTTACTTTTCAGGCGATCCATCCAAGTGGTCAGTGACAGTTTTTATCTTTCAGATACAGGGAGAGACAGAGTTGTTCCGAAGATTATTTTCCAACTTTCCTGGTTGTGTGAAATCTGACATTTTAGCATATCTGGAACCACTCTTAAAGGCACAAAGATGCTACACAGAAATTCTGCCTGCTAATTGCAGGGAATTCATCCTCTTTCATCAATGAATATCAGTTAGATCATCGAAAATTAGAAGGTTATATGCCATTTTTGTGCCTCTATGAAATACGCAATGACCCCAAGTTTTCATTCTTTCCAAGACATTTTCTTTCTTGTGTAAATTCAAAATTCACAGTAGTTAGACTGCAATGTTTCATACCTAACAATATTGACAGCTAATCCATTGTCAAAGAGAGATGTTTTACCTCCAGTCCGGTGTTGCGCATCAGTTGTGGTGGCTCGTCATTGACCGGTATGATGGTGACTGCGATGGTGATGGGAAGGCTGCGGCGTTCGTACTCATACACCGAGGCAGTGATAGTAAAATTGTCCTCCGTGGTCTCTGTGGTGTCATGCATGTAGAAAATCTTCCCATTTTTCACCTGAAGGACACAAAAATGGAACCAGGTTTCAGTCAACTCAGACTTGATTGCTATGGTACATCTTAAAACCCGGGAAAAAACAGACTATACCTAAAATGGGAAATAACACAATGACTGTCTCCTGAGACCCATGTTGACCAAAAATATGGGAGGCACCGTCATTTTTATTCGGGAAAAATAAAAGTAATTATTACTAAACTTGAAACAATCAGCACTGGTTATATAATTCCATATGATTGTCTTCCTGTCCCAGTCATCTCAGGTTTGATGTAATAACTCTGATGTTGTTACTGTATGTACATGAATGATAAAAATCTATTTTAGGAGCACAAGCAACAGAACCCAGACTGCAATAAAAAGATCATTCAAATCAGACCAATAAAATTGTAAATTCACTATTGGTTCTTATGCTATAAAGTAGAAATAGTGTATGGAGCTGATGAATTCCTAAGTCTATCACAGGAATGATCTTTTATTTCTGACTAATGTGTGAAATAATGTAATAAAATGATTAAAATGAATAAAAGGGGTTCTTTACATACCAAATTCTTCGACTTTACATTTGCTTAATCAGTAGTATTTTCCTTCATATTAGGTACCTAATAAGGGCAAAACTCTTAGTAACATCAATCTCGACAACAACCATTCAGAATATTATTCAGTCTGTGAAAACAATTATCTAATGTCTTTTGTGGCTCTGGAAAAGCTTTGCCCTGGAGACCAAATGTTTATAGACTCAAGCCTGCGCTGTAAACTGAAACATATGGACACTTGCCAAACAGGAAGAAACAAATAGAGGATGTTTTGCAATATAGTAAGTGTATGACCCAGTGATTTTGGATCTTAAATGCCTTCAATGGCCCTAAATAAGCATACCATGATTTACAAATGAAAATCTTAAAGCCCTAACTTGAAAGAATTTTGCACTAATGTGCTGGTAATGACCTAATATTATTTACATTTGAACATTAGGGATTACTATGACAAACGTGGGTCTTTCTTTGCTGCAAAACCAGATTTATTCAAATAACGCAACCAGGTTTTATTTTTACTCATAAGCGGGTACTGAAAAGACTAGCCTCCTAGGTTTTCCAGAAGAAAAATCCCAACGGCTTTCTTTAACACTTTGCAACTCTTGTTTTTAAAAGCAGTCTATAAATTGGCTTTTAACTTTCTTGCCTGGAGTTATAGGAGAAGATAAATGGGCTCACCACTCACTCGCCGGCTTTTTAAATACCATGTGCCAAATTAGCCAAGAGACAGTGATATTAGCTTAGTATAAAGATAGACCCCGGGCAAGGTTTTAACAAACAGAATATCACCAATTTGTGGGATACAGATTCCCACACAAGTTTACTTTTGATTGTTGGACATATTTGATTCAGCTGGTTCCTCTACAGATTTTATATTAGTTTAAGCTCACATTCTAAGCTAAGTTACCCATCTCCTGGCTCAGGCTCAATATTCATAGTTTTGCCTGGAGCAAGAAGGCAGATAAATATGATTCAAAAGATTTTACTCAGCGTGAGGATAGTCAGAAAAAAAAGGTAATCCACCACATGCAGATAACAACATATAGCTTTATAGAGTTTAGGGAGCCTCTTTACAAACAGTAACAAGGAGAAGCACCTCTTGTGAGACAAAGCCTTGAGAGAAAACAGAAGCATAAAGGAGTCAATCATCTTTTGTTAAGCAAACAAGATGGAAAAGAACACCTGCGGCTGGGCTGAGCCGACTGTGTTGATCCTGCATATACGCAGGAGAATTGTCTCCGCTGAGCACCTTCAGTGGTCTGTATTTGTATCTGAATCAAACCTAAGTACATATTTGTTTATTTTGATGCATTTCAGCGCTCTCTCAAGACTTCCCCGAAAATAAGGGCAGTCAGAACTTTGTCTAGACAAATGTCAGTAAGCAGCTGGGATGAAGGGACCCGCTTCACACTGCAGGAAGTGCCAAATGGATCCCATATGACTGGCATCCCTCTGGAGTAACAGCCCCCATCATCATTACCGATCAGTGGAAAGTCAGCCAGACAATCAGTCTGCTCGCTGGGATAATAAATAGTGGGTGTTTCTCGGACACTTTGCCAACTAGGAGAAAGACTGACAATTGTTTTCTCTTAAATTGAATTTTTTATTTAATTTTTTGGGACAAATGCCAGACTCGGTGTGGTTTCTGTACTTAAGTAATTAGTGACATGTAGCACATGCTGATTTTTGTTGTGTAACTTGAAGTTTGGAGCCAAAAAAGTCCAGTAAAGAGCTGAGCCAGATTAAAGCAGAGTTATTCTAGAACAAAGTGTTTCATGTTGCTGCACATGCACGTCTTTACTGTCTGACTCAGATTCTATTCCTATTTGACAGAGCTGTGTGAGATGGCAGATGGAGTTACTTTACATTCCTGTGGTTGGTGTTTGTGTATATCTGTGTGAGTTACTTCACACTGCAGTCTGCTTTATACTGTCCAGTCTACTGTAAGATTCCGTAAACTCACCAATCCACCTCAAATGATAACTTTAGATCAACATCATTTAAGATATATATGTGTCTTGTTTTCATTTCATGGGGTCAGGAGTTCTCCAGTGAGATTGGGTCCTTAGTGGACACACAATTGGTGTGACACATTTAAATCTTCATGTGACAGCGCAAGTGAATTTAGCAGTAGCAAAGAGTAGGAAGTTTGTGCTCCCACGCGTTATTATAGGGATCCACGAGGCCAGTTTATTTTGGCTTCAGGCAGTCCAAAGGCATCGTCAATTTTTCCACCATGGTTCAGCAAAGTAGAGTGAGCAGACCAGAGCCAGATGTAGGGACTATAAGATATGTGACTTGACTGGCTCCGCTAAACAATGTTTTTTCCCTCACAATGCAGTGTTTTTTTTCCCCGCCAGCAACTACTCATGCAGTTTTGACATTTTCCTAAAGCTGAAGTGTTTGCACTACATGGACGGAGACTAGATAGCTCCTGGGATCTGCCTGCCCATTCCATCTTGTAAAGAACAACAAATCCTAAACAGCTCCATGGTGATACCTTGCTTTGGAAAGCTATCATGTAGCTGTAATAAAAATAAAGTGTTTTTCAGCATGTATTGAGTAGAGATAGTCTGTGCTGAGACTGGGCTCTTTTATGGTGTTGGACCTAAGGATTACACAAATCTGTTGTGCATTGTACGGAAAATACTAACATTCTAAAGTATTGTATTGACAGAAACTGTACTGTAAAGACAGAAAATGTTCACAAGACCAGAGGAAACAGCCAGAGACCTTTTGCAAATGATGATGGTGATAATGGCCTATTGATTAAAAAACATTCCCCCCAAAAAGTGCCCATTCTAGGAACTAGAATTTCATTGTGCATCATACCTCATCCCATCTAAAATAAGTCAGGTCATCTCCATACAGGTAACGAAGGACGCCATGCTGGGGAGGCTCTTCCACATAAAATTCAATGTCTGCTGAGCTGTAGAAGGGATGGGAGATGTTTATGATGTCTGAATCGATCACTTTGCTGAGGCCCTCCTTTACAGAGAAGTTGAAGGTTTGGATAGGAATGAGCCGGGGCACAATGTTCACAGGGATGCGCAGATTTTCCACTGTGGTAAAACCATTACTGATGTCCACTGTGAAGGAATCATCACCCTGAAAGAGATGGATGTTAAGGCTTCATATTTTTATTCAAAATTTGAATAAAAAGCAAATGAGCTACTACATCTCAATTACTATAGCAGAGTGAATGAGATGATCGTATACCTGGACGGATGTAGACAGGTAGAGGACACGCCCCTCATTAATGTCTTCCTGGGTGAAGGACTGGATGTAGTCCAGAACAGGAGAGGCAGTGGTGTCTGATCTATTAGTTAGCATCACCACATGACCAAGTAGAGGAGATTCTTTAATTGTGAACACCATTTCCGTGGGCAGAATATCAGCTTGCTCCACCTAAAAGGAAAGGATAGACATTATTATTTCCTATACTGTGTAATATTACATTTAGCAAGACTCTTCCCCAAAAAATACACAATTGTTGACTGAACTCATGCTAAGTTGAAGCGTAGTTAGGAAAGAAAAACAACTTTGAGCTGAGAAAAATTTGTGGAGAATGGTAAAACTTTTGTAAAGACCACTTTAAGAATTTTATTGACACTTAATCTTTTAAAAGAGCCAGTAGTACACTTGAATTAAACTATTCTAGATAGTTTTATTATTCCAACCATGCTATGTTCAATTAAAAGCATAATAGAGCAGATTTGAACAATGGCCATGCCACTTGAAAAAGTTTAAATAAACTGGAGTCAAAGTCTAATGCTTTGCTCTCTCTAGCAGTCCTTTTAATTTTTTCATTTTGAGAATAGCACACTGCTATTTTGTCTAGGCTTTGTTGATTGCATATTTCAACATCATGTCCACTGAACAGCACACATTGTAGATTTAAAAAGAGAGGAGGGAATATCTACCTTTCAGAAATGTTCCTCATTATTTGGAGAGTCAAGACATGCTTGTATACACGGAGGGTGGATTCCAAATTGACCAACAATTTAAAGTTCATTAATTGCTTTCAGGATGAAATGCAAGTAGGCACATCTTAGGAATAACAACAGGCCTCAGGAAGTCCCCAAGGAGATACTTAGTGCTCTGTTTTCCACACTTAATAGAGTGTAATTCAGTACATAAACCAAATTGGAAGCAGCGACTGAAGAGTCATTTTAAGGCCTGTTCGTGCTGTAGATTAGAGCCAAGGTTATGAAACAAAAAGACTGCTAGTTGAGTGATGTGTAGCTGTACGAGCACAAATCTGTCTGGCTAAACAAAAGCAGCTGTCTGCAGTGCTTGTTAAAAGAAATGAGGTTAAGTTTGGGTTTTGGTAGCTTATGCTGTTCAAAAATTCACATTAATATAAAAACATCAATATCTGTGAACATACCTTGAGATGGTCCTTGCTGATTACAGTGGGTTCACTCTCAAAGGAAAGGATGACCTCATTGGTTATCACCTCGGGCTCAGAAAGATAACCTTGCTTGAATATTCTAATTCTGAATGTGCCGTCATCAGAATGCTCTTTTGCTTGGACGGTGAAGCTGAAGGAGTCCTTGGACCTCATGCTCTCATAATTATGCTCATATGACACAACCCCTTTTTTCAAGTCTTCTTGGGTGAACTCCGAAGCCTCAATCCCACTTACAATGATCCTGCCATCGCTAGGTGGTGTTGTAACCAGGAACTTAATCTCACTGTCATCTCTGATGTCGAGGTTGGATTCAGCACTCAAAAGGGTGGTGTCCAGGGTCTTGGTGCTTCCATGGTCAATGACGATGATTGTGTTATTTGCCACCCGCAAGTATGGCTTGCCTGCCTGGATCTGAAGCAGAGCAGTAGTCTTGTGGAAGCCATCCGACACCTGAAGCGTAAAGCGTTCCCGATCTGCTTTACTGTGAATGAATAGGACTTTCTTGTCTCGCAGGTCAGCCTGTGTAAAGCGGAACAGGGGCTGGGATGGATTAGACGCTGACACGATATTTCCTGAGAGAATCCCCTCTCGTGCATAGACGATTTGCGTCTCATTGAAGCCGGAGTCATCATCCTTGAACTGAATGACATCAGTCGTGAGGAGGCGCTGACCATGGCGGACCACATTGAAAACTTTGTCCACAATCCTAACAGGAGCATGCTCATTCTTGGATTGGATCAGTATTCTGAAAACACCTGTCATAGTGATCTGAGCGTCCGAATCTTTCTCAGTTGCTAAGAAGTGGAATTCATCACTCTTTGTCTTGGATGAATCATGCTTATATATTAACCTGCCAAGCAGGAGGTCTTCGTTACTAAAAACTCGAATTGCCCCTTCAAATCTAGACATTCCAGGTGGAGAATCCCTTATGAGTCTCCCATGCTTAGGCTCTTGAGTAACCTGGTACACAAAATTTGTGGAACTTGGAGACTGCAGCCAAAGATGATCTTTGTTCAGAGTCTGCTCACCACCCTGCAACACAACTAATCTTTCATTGATGAGAACAGGGAGATTTGCACTGGATTGCATACTAATTGGAAAATCATACAAAGGAGAGTACTGGCCCTCAGCAAAAACTCTGAACTGAAAGTGCTGTACACCATAAAGAGAGACTCCATGAGAGACTTTGTAACTCAGGGCATTGTCCATTACATCTTTCTGGGTGAAAATGTCACCTTCAGACAACACTTTCTCTGAAAGCCTAAGACTACCACTAGTTGGAGGCTTGACAATTATATATTTGATAGTTTCTGGATGTAGATTTTTACTTTTAACTTCAGCCTGAAGGTGTGTGGGTCCAATTATCTTTTCCTCACCAGGCATTATTTCCAATTCTACCAGGTTTGAAACTTTTACTTGCGCAGGGAAAATCTTGACCAAGAAAGTGTTGTTAAAAAGGGAAAACTGCCCTAGGTGGGTGTCAAACTGAATTCGCTCCACTACAATATCTTCGTGGTTACCTGAGTCTGTGCTGAGGTATCTAAGACGTGCTTGATCGACATCCGATTGATGGAAAGCTGTAACCTTTTTGTATGTGCCGTCATTTGATTCTATTTGTATTTCTCCAAAAATCAGTGGATGTGTGATGTTGTACATTATATCTCCATTACGAGGATGGGCAATAATAGCCAAATTCTGAAATCCTATGGATGCATTGCTTCCTTGAGACAAACTGAGGCCAGTGTTGGTGATGATGGTCATATGGGGATGCGTCACTGATAACCTTAAAGTAGATGATTGGCTTTCTGCCTGTCCATAAGACACTTCAAAGGTAATTTCAGTAGCAGCCCCACCCCGATGCACAAAAAATATGTTTCCATCTTTCAACTCCCTACAGGTGAACTGAGAGATGGGTTTTCCTTGAGCATTTTCCACATAACCAACATTCCTTGGAAGTTCCGAGGTTAGAGTTATTACTATTTCATCACAGCGAGGGTCAGAATCCATGATTTTCATAAGGTTGGGATGCAAACGAGTCCGGCCGTTTTCTGTAATAGAGATTTCTCCTCCACTGAGTTCTGGTATGTCATTCACTGGAAGGATTTCCACTGTCAGGAAAATTTGGTGGGGGGTTTTCAAACACTCTGGAAGGTTGTCGTTACTGTTAGCGACAACCTCTAGCTGGATCTGGTCTACGTGCCTTTCATTGCCATCATGCATGTACTTAATTTTCTTATTGGCAACATCCAAAAGAGTGAACTTTCTTGTGCGCCTCGTGTTAATGTTCATATCAACCAGGCCATACCAGGGGTCCTCCTGTAGAGTAAAAACGATTTGAGACAGACGCATTCCAGCAGCACCAACATCAAATGTTGGACTTAAGTTGTTGATACCAAGAAAAGCTTCTCCACCTTCAGGTACAAGCAATGTGGTGAGATCAAGTAATTTTGTAACGTTTTTAAAGTTCTCAGGCATGTCTTGTGTTGGATCACAAAGCAGCTCATCTAATCCAGAGTCAAAATTTCGAAAGCGGACAGTTGGGGAGGTTGTAGTTGTTTCCGCATCATAGTAAGTTGAGTAGTCGTAATCCTCTCCTTCACATTTCACATGAACATCTTTAGTCACCAAGGCATCCTGAAGGCTTCTATCCTTTTGATTGACTTTGATTTCCCCCAGGCATCCAATGAAAGATTCAGATGTCATGTCGTCCTCAAAGCGCTTTAAAGATCCGCTCTCACGAAAGACTTCTTTCATTTTTGCCTGGATGCCACCTAAATACAGGTTTCCAACCAAATCTAATTTTTGTGAGGAGTCAAGAGAAAGGGATGAGGATTGGCTGTCTACTGTAAGAACAAATGAAACCTGGGAGACCTGAACCTTAACTCTATGCCACTGGTCATCATCCAGCTGTACCTGTGTATTCTGAAGAACTTTCATACCATCCCCGAGGTCCAGTACGCCCCTAAGATACCCTTTCACAACTCCGATAGCAATGAAGTCTGATTCTCTGCCTGGGTGGAAAATGAGTAAAGCATCTTCTATGGTGGTTTTCATCAAGAACTCCACAGTCCTAGGAGCATCGGTAGCCTCGCTCCATGTTGGGAAGGAAACAAACGAATCAGGAGTGCTAAAGCTGGTGGCTTCCCCATCCCCAATCTCAAACTCACTGCTACAAGATTCCTTTGTGTCGGAACACTGCTTTAATGCTCCACTAAGAATGTCAAACTGATGGGATTCAAATTTGGTGTCAGTCATGCAGCCACGGAAGGGAGGAATGGCGTTGCTGAGGTAGGGAGCATCAAGGTCTGATGTGCCCCCGAGCCAAATGCCAAGATCAATGTTTAGCTCTCCATCATCGTTCACAGGGACATATGTCGGGAAGAGATCATCAATTATCATTGTGAGCTTGCCATCTTGCCAAGTCAGTGAGACTTTGTGATACAGAAGGTTATTCAGCTGTACTCCTTGAGATGAGGACAGTTTGATCTCGCCGCCCCCCAGGTTCATTCGTGCCTAAGGTGAAACAAAAATGGTATAACTTAGTCCAATGTCATTTCAGAGTTTTAATATCTTTAAACAAGAAACTATTTTGAGCAACAAAATTACCTTCACCAATGTGAAATACTTATTCCTTAACTCAGAAAATACTTGTAATTCAACTTTATTTCTATTATAATATATAATCAAGCTGTTTGCAAAATCCACAAAAGTTAGTCTTTGGTTAGTCTTTATTAAGTGGCATTTTAAAACAATTTCTTCCCAAAACTGTTTTGTAGTAATTACACCTGCTCACATCACACACTAAACAAGGCAATGGTTCTTCCGTAAAGCCTTTGTTTAGTTCAATGTATCTCACATCAATGACAGAAGACCAAAATTCACTTAATTAAAAATGTAGCATTGATTGCCACTTTCATGGAGGAAATCTTAACAAATCAATGTTATTACGCACTTAATGTTGAAGACTAGAGTAGATGATTTAGATGATTCTCTTTGAAAAGGTCCCAGAGGCTTTTATCATAATTTGCCTGGCAACTTATTCATATATCCTACTTTAAATAGCTTTTCCCTTCAGTTTCGAGTCTTTCTATTTCAATTATTGCATTTGAGTAAAAAAAAAACCCACTCCCTTCCATGGTTTTGAGAGGATAAGCTGTAATTCTTATGATAAAAACATAATGCAACTTTTATTTAGACAGAAGCTATATTTGTATCTGGACGTATATATGTCTCTTTTTCACATTTGGCGAATTAAACCCTCACTTGTATTTTCCCGTTGAGCAGTTCCAGAAACAGGTAGTCCTCCATTCCTGCAGCCAGTAGCAAAAGGCCACTCCGCCTACTTGTCTTGATCTGAAGTGTCAGCTGGAAGTTGCGTACATCTTGAATGACTTGTAAACTGCAGAAGCTGTCCCCAAAGTACGATTCTGTCAAGAACAAATGCAGTTTAATGTGTAGCAAAGCACAAATGAGGCATCATGTTATCAGATATTAATAGCATTATATTTCATTGGAAAAATATGTAAGTTTATCATGAATCAGAATAGTAAAAACACATAAAACTAAATTGGAAACACAGAATAAGCACAAAAAGCCCCTTTACATTAAACTGGAGCACAAACTCATCTGACATATGCTGAATCGCAACAGCTGTTATGAAAGTGTAAGATAGGGGAACCAATTACATGAACATTTTCCAGAGTCTGACATTTCGTGCATCTCCCTCATGAACTGATTTCTATATCATCAGGTGGCCCCCAGCTGCTCTTGGCTGAAGAAGAGCTTCTCTAGCCTCAAAGAGATTCTGTGACTGAGACATCAGTCATTACCACTGTGGAGGAGTTCCAGGCATATAGAATGCTGGAGTACAGGATTTCCCAGGCTTGACTTGCCTCATTTTCAGTGATATGCTAATTCAGCCACCTGCTTCAGTCTTTCTTCGCTGAAGTACTTGACAAAAATGTAAACCATGGAGGAAGTCAATTAATTCCCAGTGCACATGCTCTGAAATTAAAATGGACCACTTCCAAGACCCAGCTTCCTCACCATGGATTTTCCACAGACTTAGCCAGGAGCTGTTAAAAGGGGGGTTTCCATTAGTCACCCACTTGCCCTCATGAGGGTGATAGTTCATAACAGAGAAACTCAATTGAGAAACTCAACAACGAGGGCAATCCTCTGATCACCCAATGCTAATTCTCTGGGATATTTGGAACAGGAAAGAAATGTTGTGTCAGAGTGAGCACATTCCTCTGAAACTTTGAAGGCCAAAATTTTCCATGAGAACCAACAGCGGCATCCAGTAGCCTGACGGGGATATTGGGCTTAATGCCATGAATCCAAGTCTCACAGAACAAGATGATAAAGCATTCACATTCATCACTATAGATGGAAAAAGTCTTTCCCTGAGACTCAAGCAAATACATGTGTGCAGCTTGCATCTGGGTTGTATCTACATTAACGCTATGCTGCAAGTCTCACAACACTAAAGGGCACATTTGTCCTTTGGTTTCTCAACCTGTAAATGAACCCCTTCATCCCAGATCTACAGCAAACACTGGAAATGTGAAAATGAGCCGAGCGCTTTGATGTCGAAAAGGACAAAAGCAAAGCTTTTATCATCACGCACATGCTTTTGTGATTTCACTAAGAGGCATTTGCCTTTGGAGCCAAGGCCGCTCTGTCATGATCGACGGCAATGATGAACGGTCTCCATGCAAGGCTCCAAACAAGACAGACTTTTGACTTCAAACTGACGAAAAGCATCAATCCACTTCAGTAAAAAAAAAAAAACAGATCAAAGACATCTGCTTTTGATGTGGTCACATGGTAATCTCTTTAATACATATTGTCTGGGTACTGATGAGCGACACTGAGATCCAACATGGCCATCAAACCAAAAACATTTGCTTCTCTGAATTAGAGGACGACACCGGTATTGGGGTCCTGATCTAGGTTGAACGTTGTATAGGGTGTGAGTCTGATGACGAGTGGGTGTTTAGCTAGTTTTGATCACACTGTTAATCATTATCAAAAGAAGCACAGAGGAAAATAGGAGCAGTATTTTGTGTTACCAACAAAACGGTGAATTCAGCAATGTGTCTTATATATTCTCTTTTTAAATGAAAAAAAATGCATAACTCAATTGGGTATAATTATGCAATTTGTGACTTTGTTACAGTATTTTCATGCAGATTGTGTAGAGAAAATATAATATTAAGTGCTATTACACTGGTAGTTTATCATGTCTTTGTGGTTATCCCTTATTTACTGATTTCTGTTACTTGTGGGTTAATTAGAAAGCTAACAAAATATATTTCCATGTCATATAGTAGCTTCATGACATCCCTATATTATAGATCCTCTCTCCATCACTTCATAATTATGTTGCTGTAAATAGCAGCACATTTGTCAGGTGATTCATACAAGAGATGGGACTGGGTCAGTTGGACACAAATCATGGGGTCAGTCAGAAAGTCAATAAAATGATCACAGAACCACATTATTCATTTGTAAAATGTTAGGGCTCTTGCTAGTCACTGTTTCTGAATAGGCCAAAGCCAACTTAAGTTTTTCACTGCCTAATAACCCTCTAAATGATACATTTAGGAATGGTGCTAATTGCCCGGCTTCCTTAAACCTGAAAACAAGACAGCAATTTCCTACAGGATGTTGGAATGTTGTTAAACTTAAGCTTTCTCAGGATGTTGAGCTTGGATGCAAAGAGAATAAAACCTGAAGGAAAGAGGGGTGTTCAAGCTGCACTACCCGCAGATATAAAGGCTCAAATTCAGTTTGTTGGTTCAGCCTGCAAGAAAAATTGCATTCTTTCTAATGACACACACAAAAGCTTCACTTTCTGCAAGTCTCTGGACCTGGAATTAATTAAATTCTGTGTGGAGCTGTCATCATGGAAGAAAAGCACATGTCCTGATTTCTCTTTCGTTGATTGCGACCTCACTATTGCACTTTATAATAACTTTGCAGGGAAGGTGCTCAATGGAAAGGGTGAAATAAATCTGTACCCATGTGAAAACCTTTAGAATTCTTTAAGACAGACTACAATGCAATTTTTTCCATCTTCTGGAGGTGCCCTGGGATGGATCGTAACAAACTGAACTGGGACTGGTCTCTTGATGGATCTCTGGACCTGAAACGCATTCAAAGGACCGCCTCCGATCCCAGTCAGCCACCACAGCCCTCTTAACACGGCTTTATCGTGCATCAAACTGAATCTTGGTGTGAAGCCAATGCAGATGGCAATAATTTGGGTAGCCGACAGCGCTTGTATTTATAATTCTCAGAGGAAACAGACTCTTCCTCTCTTACACGGCAACCGAATGAATTATCCTTCTGTCTCTCTCTCTCCCACTCCTTCTCTCTGTCCTCCTTTGGTCTTCATCTAGTGACACATATCCGGAAAAGGATTGAGGGAAAGAGACAGAGAGCTGACCACAAGGAAGGGAACACTGGTGACACACAAGTGATTTTTTTGCTGTGTGACTTGCTGTGCTGGTGAGTCAGAGTCACTCCAGCGACATTTGAGCATGAAGACGTACAGAATAGATTAGATCTGAGCCCACAAGATTCTTAATTGTTTCCTATGTGGTGATTATGGTAACTATAGAGAAATCCTTAAATCATACATGAATGATAGCCTGACATCTTTTTTTATTTTTATTTAGAATCTTCTGTCTTTTATTATAATCTCTTTTGAATTAAATCAGAGATATTCACATTTCTTTGAATATACCATATATTTCCAACATGTGCACTGTTTCAGCAGAAAGAGGAACTATCTAGAATGTGCTTTTCTCTCTGTATATTTTTCCTCTCTGCCATGGTAACACAACCTGGAATCTAAATAAATGACCAAGTTGTGTAACCCATGGTTAAACCACAGTTCTCCTGCCTATAAATAGAGGTTAAATTGGTAATTTCTTGCCTTTGCTGGGCTGTGCCTACTACAACAGGGTATAATAGTTTCAGGTTGTAATTATGTGTGGGGTAGGGTGTTGTTAACCATAGATAGAATGGGAGGGAAGGGCACTGTACAATGGCATTCCCCATATGGCACCATGGTCATTACCATGATGGGAAATTACATCACTCACAAGGGTCAACAGCACTTCTGGCTCAAATAAACATCAGCTTATAAAAACAAATGCAATTTGCATACAGCACCTATGGACTATTATTGGACTAATATTTGGTAGTCCCTTATGACTGCAATATTAATGACTTAATCTATGAATTGATTGATTATTTAAAAAATCTACTTATTTAGTCAGTTTTTCTAATCACGACAAAATTAATTTGATGACTTATGGAATGCATATTATCCAGCCAAAATATAGAGAATTTCTAAGATATTCTTAAATCTAAGGACTTCATTGAACATGACTGTGTGTTAGATAATCTTGGTTCTGCTTATTCAATCATATCATATCATATCTATCTAATTTATTTAGGAAATTCTAAGTTAGATTTATTTGCTTAGTGACACATAACCCATTGATGAATTTATTAATCCATGTACAGAGTTTGAGGACTATGGAAATGGAAATGTCAGTTTTTATGGTACTCCTTATTTTTGCATTGTTCATTGTTTAGTTGTGTAAGACTGCACTCTAAGCAGATCCCAATGTATCTTTTGAATCTGAACATTACATTTCGATAGCACTATATTGACTCGAACTGAAAGCAATCTAAATCATGTTATGACCCCGTAGAAGTGCATGGTTGTGTGCCTCTTTACAGAGACATCCCATGCTTGTTTAAGCAGAGTGTGTAGACGCCTGTCAATGGCTAAAGTGTGAGGAGAGCCATCAAATCTGGGAATCTCCCCCCTTTCTGTTCCAAATATTCAGTTTTCTCTTTATATGTGTCCATATCACACACTGAGGTTCCATTGGACCCTTAAAAATTAAATGAAACTGAAATTGTGGTTTATTTGATGCAGGTATACATTGCAAAACCAGAAACATAACAAAACAGATGATTTAAAATGTCTTTATTTACTTACATAAGACCTGACTTTCTATATGATTGTAATACTTTAATCCTGAAAGGATTCAATTTGAAATATAATGTGATTTTTGATATATTCTAAAAAGTAGTTTTGATTCCTAAACCTCATCAAGTGAAGAACGTGTGGGTAATTTTCAAAATGAATAAAAAGAAAAAAAAGAGAAATTGAGTTGGACGGGTCAGCGTAAAGAACTTCAACGATTTTTCCAATTGGTGAATGCAAGATGATTGGCCTGGAAAGATGCAACTAAAATTGAGCAACTGGTAAAGTGAACCAAATGTCTTGCAGTGCGAGTTACAATGTAACTATGATGAGTTAAATCCCCAGACAAATCACAGCCCCCTAACCTTGTTAATCATGTTGACAACATGTTTATAGGACTTTGCCTGAATACAGCGGCCCGTCTGTGGGAGGAAATACTGCCAGTACCTCCGCTGTTAAACAGCACTGAGTTAAGCCACAACTCTACATACTTTGACAGTGCTGCTTTATTAAGGACCCCTTCCCTCTCCACACACTTTTCAGAAGTAACCAGGGACACACTTTTACAGGCTTTATGGAGCCGTTTCTCAGACCTGCCGATGTCAGTGTGAAAGCAAGCTGCATATTTTAGTCCCCCGCCCCACCTTTTTTTATATCCCCATCCACTTCTGCATCTCTCTGAGAGTCTGTAAAAGTAGTCAGAACAATAATAATAAAAAAAAAACACTCATGAGGAGGCAGCAGGAGGCTTGGACTGAAACGTTTCGCAGTATTTGCAGAACTCGGTCTTAAGAAAACCTGTAACGGGTGTGAATGTGGGGGACGAAAAAAAATTATGACCTCTCCTGTGAGAGTGGAATGGCATTAAATGAAATTTTAGCTTAGGAAAACTGAGTATGTGAGAAAGGGGTTGGGAAAATATGGAAAAGATGACATGAAAGACATACTGTTGTCTGGATTTGTGCTGTTATTGTCAACGGGGAGGAAGGGGGGCCGTAAAAGTCTTTTTCTACACAGAAAGGATAATAAAAAAAGCTACAGCCCCTTCACTACGCCTGACACATGTTTTTGTATCAGCAGACACCTCTTGGTTTATCACTGGACAGAGATGACATTAGGGAAGATGGAATCTAGAGGCATCGGGCATTATGAGGTGGTAGGTACCTGTCAAATCAAGTCACAGGAAGAAGAAGAAATTGTCTTGTTTTTGTTCTTTAGAAAGTTTCCTCAAACTCATCTTTATGATCTTCATGCTCTCATGCACAGCCCGCAGTAAAAAACATTTCCATCAAATGTCTGCTCCGTATTGGTTTCACGGTGCTAGATTTTTAGAGTGTCTGTATTGGTTTCACGGTGCTAGGCAGCATAGGGTATTTCAAGGCACAAACAATAAAAAAAAGTTCACTCGGGAGTCCAGAATGTTGTATACAATGGGACACTTTCAAGATCGCCTCGGTCTCAAAGCAAATGTTTTTTTTCTTTGTCACGATAGCCCAAGCAGAGTATATAGTTTAATCAGTTCATTGTATGCTAGCTCCTGGAGGTGAACTTCGGGACTTGTTGGTCGTAATTACTTTGGACCGGTGATCTCAGCCACCCGGTAACACTGGAAGACAAACAGAGCCGTGAACAGAAGCATTGTAGTGACTCAGAGCTGTGCTGTGGTTTACGACCGGCTAATACAAAGTGTGTCTCTGTCAGCCCAGCTCTACTGCGGAAGCCATCAACCCACCAAGGTCCCAGTAGCTGGGTCCTGTTAAAATAATCCGCCCCCTGACATCAGAGGAACTGACCCCCACCCCCTTTCACACTGTTTCAAACCATATACCTTCTAAAACTACATCCATTCAAATACACACTAACCTTTTCTTTTCCAACTCCCCAAAAAATCCTGACAAACAGCCAGAAACATTCTAACAAGTGATTGTTTGTACATGTAGTCGTGACTTTTTCTGTTTTCCCATTTTCTAAAGGTAGGCTGAATTGAGGACTATTTTCAATACAGTGGTAATGAATTTCGCTGTGAGGTTTGCACATCATGTCAAGGAAGAGGGCAGGAAGGAAGAGAGAGGATCCAGACAGCGATGGAAAATCACACGTAGATAATTAAGCTTCTCAATTTGAACAGATGCACACTCACCATGCTGAATAGGAGGCGTGCTTGTCCCCGTACACCTTTACACATCAATGAACTTTTTAAACATGACTGAAGGTCGATTGTGAATTTTCATTAACCAGAGGAAACTTTATGAACAAGTAAAAATAGATATATAAACAAAAAATGAATAAATATGCTTCACAGTTCTGTTTCTTGAAGTCCTACACTGAGTACATATTTAAATAGCCCCCTCTGATCCAAAACTGTTTAATTTTCTTTTTACTTTTCAGCTTCACAGTCATTAACAATTGGTTATGATTCAATTTCACCATCCATCCATTTTCTGAACTGCTTACTCACAAATAGGGTTGCCATTTTTTATTTTATTTTAGTCCATCTTGGATGAACGCCACCCAAATGACAGGAAAAAGTGAGTGCTACCATCTCACAGTTTCTGTCCTAAGGCTGTGACTCTTGAGACGAAGCCTGGGAAACTATTTCATGTTATGTCTTGGGACATTGCTGCATTTTGTACTGTTTGATTACATTTTCAGCTCCAAAAGCAAAACAGTAAAATGCTCAATGACAAACTCAAACTGCTTTTCTTCCAGTCTTCTTTTGAGGTTTGATGAACTATATTAAACAAGGATGCTTTCCTGGTACAATCAGTACAATCAGCCTCAGTAATTAAGGCTGAATCTTGAACACAAACATAAATTATTTCCCAAAAATGTAAGCTTTGCCGATAGTTATCATACCAGTGATGCTTCCTCGTTTAGGTGGATGGATGTCTTTATGAATGAAGGAGATAGGTATTTGGCAGATGATCAGTTGAGTAGTTTGACATTTTGGACTATCCCACATCTTTAATGTTTACTGTAGACTTGTGTCCTTACTTAATCACGTCTCTTAGAGTTCCATGTAAGGAATTCAAGGAGCGCTTTGTTGTTTTTTTTTCTTTGGTCATGTTGTCGGTTTAACAGTCATATTCCCATACATGGATGAAAGACTGGAGCACGATTTTCAGAGTGTCTGAGGCTTAACTGTAGACGCAAACATCTAACAATGAAAGAGGAGGCAGACTTGATGGGACTTTTGTTTGGTACCATAGCCACATTTTTGGGAATAATTGAAAATGTATGTCTGCGAAGTTTCCATCCATCCTTATTCCGTCTGGGTCTGCCTCTTTTGTCATTAACAGTCATTTCTGACAATATATCAATGGCTCTATTCACAGTTTGTTAAGGAAACCCTTATGACTGCAGTTATGAGTATGAGTGCATGCATTAGTCACTCCATCGCTAATTATCAGCGTGACATTGGCTTTTCGGCGGTCTGGAACACACTCTGCTGAGTAGCAGTTCACTTTCATAAATCACTCAGTTTAATGTTGGCGCAGAGGAAGAGATTTGGGAGCAAAACGTTGGAAATCCTCTCGCAGAGGTACATGTCAGAGCTGGTGTTTGCGTTTGGTTTGGGGACAGTGAGAGATTCAAATACATACCAGACAGATCTTATAAATGACCCAGTTTCCTGCTATCTTTTCTCTCTTTCTCCTTGTCTCTCATATGGGTGGATTTGAATTTTATTTGAATGAGAAAAGAGGATATTCTATATTAATTTTAGTACTACCTCACAAATATTTATAACTGAAGCTGTGTCCTCATCCAGACAATTTAGACAAATGATATTTTTTAGTTGCTTTGTATGACAATCCACAAAAAGTGGTGTACATTTTTGCACTTTTTTCCCCAATCATGGCACTAAAGGTAAAATAAATTTGACATGCGCTCCATATAAATCATGGCACTCGCTTCTTTCCCCCTGCAAGAACTTAAACAAATTCTGTTACACGTGTTAAAGTGTCTGTGAAACAGAAGATCCTGGCACCATCAGGCGCTGTTAATGAAACAACAAGCTCGACATCCTTGAATCGCAATCTTGCTAATGATGATGATAACCTTATTTACAGGTCCCCTTTCAACTACATGAAGCTGACAGAACCAGTCAGATGGCAGAAATCAGGACGCTAACTAGGTGGGATTATATAATGAAACAGTAGCTTTGAAAAACAGACTAATTGTTTTATTAGCCTAATTTTCATGGAATAAGATTACTTCAGTCCAGTTCAGTTATTTCAGATGATCATAATTTATTATTTAGTGCTTTGCTTGCTAGTTTCTTCCATTGTCATTGAAATGCCATAATGAGGTAAAATATGTCACTAAAAGGGATTGGTTTTGGGTTCGAGTCCCTGTGGGAACCAGGACCTTTCTGTGTGGGAGTTTGCACGTTCTCCCTGGGTCTGCGTGGGTTCTCTTCGGGTTCTCTGGCTTCCTCCCACTGTCCAAAAACCTGCATGTTAGGTTGACTGGACATTCCAAACTGCCCTCAGGAGTGAGTGAGTGTGAGTGTGCATGGATGTTTGTCCTTGTGTGTCTCTGTGTGGCCTTGCAATGGAGTGGTCAATATGGTTTTAGACTGAACTATGCTCTGTCACCTGGCATAATAGTCTGACACATTGAGTCTGGTCAATTGTTATGGCAGCATGAATATTAATCCTAAATTAATAGAACTCTTTTTTCAGAAACTCTCCAACAGAGTAAATACGTGCCTTTTTTAGGTAATTTCGGAGTTTCATCTTTCTGGGATCTCTCAGATTTGACAGAACTTTACTAGATCTAAATTGTTGAACAACACACTAATTTTTTATCCTTATTAGAGCAGAAAATCATAAAAGAAAAAAAAGATCACCTGAGCTTTGTGTTGAGCAGATGGCATGTAAGTATAGTATTTGGTATAAACATTTAAAGCATCAATGTGTGGACACAGCAAACAGATTTAGATTGAACAAAGACACCTCTTTTGACTCTCCTTTCTATGATGTACTGACAAGGCTGAGCTGTGCCAGATAACTTATTTTTAACTCCATAGATGCACACTACACTTTTCCATGAGCAAGTCCGATAGTCAGAGCCTTCAATAAATGAGGCCCCCCCGGTCTCACGGGGGCTCTGAGGAGGGAAACTGTGATACAGAAGCAGCAGTGAAGGGGCCTCTCAAAACCCATATCCGGTCTATAACCCGGGCCTGCAAAGTCAGTGTGTGTTCGAGATCAGAGCGTCACATTAGGCCCATAATGAAAACCAGCTGAGGGAACACACCACCAGACTGACCTTTTCCAGCTCAGACTAACCCCCTCCAACCTTTTACTCTACCATCTTTCAGTCTAACCCCGGATAAATGTTTTATCCAGATGCTGTCTCTCGGACTGCTTCCATCAAGAGGCACACACCCAAAGGCAGTATGACAAAAAGAAACACCCACCCTTACCCTTATTTGTGGCGGTGAACATACATATGCACTCTCTCTTTTCGACCTGACAGTCATTCCTCTTATGCCCTGGCTGGCTGAGTCAGCCCATCAACTCGAGCCAATCACACAACTGTTTTCCACCAGACTGCTCTGGAGGAGGCCCGCCCTGCCCCACCCAGTCCGTCCGTCCAGCCACTTTTCCTCAAGCTCTCGTTCGGGAAACGTCAAGGGCCAGGAACACTGCCCATCCCCCCTCCTTTTCCCGCTTTACCA